CAAGAAGTAAAATAATTCTAACTACTGAGAAAGAGCTGACCTTTTCATGCTCCGGACATCACCAGAGACTCCCCCTCCCACTACTGCCGGTTGCCGCCAGCCCCCTATTGCTGGTTGCTGCCGGCCCCCTCCCACTACTACCAGTTGCCGCCAGCCCCCTATTGCTGGTTGCTGCCGGCCCCCTCCCACTGCTGCCGGTTGTGGTTTGTGGTTTCTGCCTTTAAAAATCGCCTGTAAGCTGAGCTTGGGGCTCCTATTCTCTCACTCTCCTTGTGAGTGAGGCAGGAGCCCGTCTGCGCAAACGATTAAATCCTCTTGCTTGTTGCATCTCCTGGTCTGAGGACTGAGTTATTGGGGTGCGGCCTCCCATGGATGTTGGGTACCCCAGCCTGGGGGTCCTACAGTAGTCTTATTATGATGTCCAGGTTGGTTTCAAACACCTGGGTTCAAGACATCCTCCTGCCTCTATTTCCTGAAAAGTTAGGCATGTGGGCCTGTACCTTTGCATCTGGCCTCTCCATTCAATTCATTTCTACTCAAATCATTATCGTTCCTTCTGCTGACTTCAGATTTAGTTTGTTGTTGTTTTACTGTTATTTCTTTGGGTTTTTATTTAGATACGGGGTCTTTGTAGCCCAGGCTGGCTTGGAACTCACTGTGTAGCCCAGGCTAACTTCAAATTTATGACAATCCTTCTTCCCCACTTCTGAAGTGCTGGAATTACAGGTTTTTCTTGTTGTTGGTTTTCATTATGTTTCCTATTTTTCTGGTTTCTTAGGTGTAAAATTAAGTTGTTGACAAGGCATTTTCTTGTTTTAAATGTAAGCATTCAAGCCAGCGAGATGGCTCAGCTTAGCATTTTAAAAACACTTGTTACCTAAGCCTGTTGACTTGGGTTCAATCTCTGGAACCCACCATAAAAGGCAAGAATCCGTTCCTAAAAGCTGTTCTCTGACTTGTACACACTTGCTGTGGCATGTGTGCACCCCACATGTCATCTACATACACGCAGGCAATAATACTAAATAAAAATTTTAAATGAAGGCATTCACAAATGTAAATTTCTATTGGAACACTTTTTGCTTCATTCCAGAAATTTTGGAATAGTATATTTTTTCATTCCTCTCAAAATATTTTCTAATTTCTCTTGTAATTTTGGTACCATCTAGGGATCTTGATCAGATTTATTTTCACTATCAATTAAAGAATTAAATGCTCAAAAAGACCAAAAAAAAAAAAAAAGAAAGAAAGAAAAAAAGAATTAAATGCAGGGAAAAAAATATCAGAAACAACAGGTAACAAACTTTATTAAAAGCAAACAAACACAGCTAGGTGTGGTGGTGCACACCTTTAATCCAAGCACTCAAGAGGCAGAGGCAGAGGCAAGCAGATCTCTGTGAGTTTGAGGCTAAACTGGTCTATAGAGCGAGTTCCTGGCCAGTAAGCCACAAGTGGAGAGACAATCCAAATACTGAAAAATCCAGAGTGCTTAGGCCTTTTAAGTATTTTTGGTGATACAGGGCAGCCCTAATTTTGGGTTGGTCAACTTAAACAAAGAAGACAGGCTGTTAGGTCACAGCTTCAAGCTGTGATATGTCCAGAACAGGTCTTGGCTAAACTGGCCTCGACTGCTCAGCCAGAAGAGGAGCACTGTCCTACTGGTAGGAAAAAAAAGTCTTCAGGTCTTTCTCTCTGGTAGAAGAAGCAGAAAGTTTATTGCCATCTTTGTCATTTATCAGTGGCCTGTTTGCTTGTCAGGGCTTTACCCTCTCAACTTCTTTCACAATAGGTTAGATGAGAATATTTAATTTCAATATTATTGAATATTGATATTCAATAATTATTATTTTCTGTGTCCAAATTTTCCTTGTTTCTGCTTTCTAGTTTAATTCTGCTGTGGTTCAGAATGGTACTTCCTATACTTTTGATTACCTTAAATCTACCATAAATTGTTTAATATAGATTATCTCTGGTATGTTGATCTGTTCCTATAAAACATATGGTCTAGGGGCTGGAGAGATGGCTCAGCGGTTAAGAACACTGACTGTTCTTGCAAGAAGACCTGGGTTCGAATCCCAGCACTCATCTGACAGCTAACAACTGTCCATAACTCCAGTTCCAGGGGATCAGACAGCCTCTCTGTCTTCCTCGAGCATTGCATGGCACGAGTGCACTTACCTACATGCAGGCAATACACACATACACATAAAATAAAAATAATAAAATTTTTTTTTAAAAACATATATGGTCTATTCATATAAAAAAGTACAAAACTGGGACTTGAGAGATGGCTTAGAGGTTAAGAGTACTTACCACTCTTCCAGAGGACTCAGATTGGACGCCCAGCTCCCACATGGTAGCTCATAACTGTTCAAAATAACACCCTCTTCTGATCTTCCTGAGCACCAGGCACACACATTTACATATTTATACATGCAGGCAAAACACTCATCCACATAAAATAAAAATAAATATTAGAAAACTAAAACAAAAACTCTGCCCATTATCACCATCTCTCTCCACCTATGGGTTTTAAACACCTATTATCTAGCTTTGCAATTATTTTACATGTTTCCATTTGCCTATTAAATCATATAAGAAACAGAGGAATTGCAAACTGAAAATATGCTAATGTTGGCTTTTATATTTACCTATGTACTTATCTTTACCAGTGTTCCCATTATTTCCACATTTGGATTCAGATTGCTTCCTGATAGTCCTCCATAATGAAAGGGCAAAGGACTCCCTCTGGCATTCCTGTAGGGTGAGTCCACTAGCAGTGAACTCTCTCAGCCTTTGTTTACCTCAACAGCAATGTCTTAACTCCTCTTGGCTGGCTTGGAACCCCATAACCCCATATGTAGAGCAGGCTGCCCTCAAATTTGCAACCTCTAGCATTGCCAGGATTGCAGGCATGTTGCCACCATGTCCAGCTTTTTTTTTTCCCCCCATCACTTTTGGAAGATCAAAACAAAACAAAACAAAACAAGAGCCAGGCATGGTAGCGCATGCCTTTAGTCCCAGCACTGGGGAGGCAGAGGCAGCCAGATTTCTGTGAATTCCAGGCCAGCTGGGACTACAGGGAGACCTCTGTCTCAAAAATACCCCCTGCCCCCCAAAAAAAGAAAGAAAAGAAACTTAAACCTTTTTTTAAAAAAAGTTCTGTATAGTAATAGACCCAGAGTGTCCTATTGCATCATTTTATTCTGTCACATAAATTGTTGGTGGTGATGGTGATGATGGTGGTGATGACTGAGATAGTCTCCCTGTGTAGCCCTGGTTGACCTGGGACCAGATGATCCAGTTCTGCTCTAACTTGCAGAGCTCCTCCTGCCTCTGCCTCTCCAGTGCTGGGATTATAGATGTGGGCAGGACACCCAGTGTAAACTCTTTCTAATACAACCTTTTAAGACAGGTTGTATGATGAACTTGGACACCACACCCAGGTAAAGTACCCTGCCTACAACCCTACAGTAATAAAGTGTGGAGCCAGAATTCTGCTCCATTCTTTCCCCCTCTATTCCCTATTCTAGACCTTCTATTCTCATTTCATTAATCTTATTCTGAGAAATCATTAGACCCTACTCAGTACATTTTTGCTTGTAGCCACAGCACCCAGGGCCTCACACATGGGAGGCTAACAATCTGCCAACTGAGCTATAGCCCCAACCGTCTCCTCTTAGTTACAGATACTATTATGAACTTCAAACTCGGGAAGTTCTAATGTTTTTTTGTTTTGTTTTTTTCTTCCCTTGCGGTGCTGAATATCGAACTCAGGGCCCCACTTTAGCCAAGTGGTCTACCAATGAGCTACTTCTTCAGCTCTAAATTCTATTCTGTTGGATCCCAAACCTTTGAGAAAGTTTTTTTCTTACCTGCCCCTGGGAATTCTGGTACTCTACCTAACCTTCGTCCCATCCTCATTTCTCAGTTCAAAGACACCATCCATCAGTACCACCCCCCACCCCCCACACTCGAATTTTGCATTTATCCCTATTAGTAAAATCCGGCGAGAAAATGAAACTGAAAGTCCTGAACTGATTTTGTGCTTTTGTGAGCTGATTTTGGAAGGGGAACGCCACTGAACTGGAGCGGGTCTGCCTCCGGGTGAGGTGGTGGGTACAGAGCCTGGACAACCGTCTAAGGGCGCCCGTGTCCACGCACGCCGCAGGGGGTTCCCGCTGCGCCTGCTCAGTCCTGCCCCACCCCGCCCGCCGCGCCCTGAGGCCGCGCGGGAGCCCGGAAGCACTCGGACGGAGCTGGGACGCTGGCACCCGGAGGGCCGGGGGCGCCCAGGGCTGGCGGGATCTCCAGGCAGGTGCGTGGGTGCTCGGGTGGCCGCCCAGGGAGACCAAACCCCTCCGAGCGCCCGGGGCGTCCGGGATCCGGAGGCCGCGACCTTCGCCGGGGAACTGCGCTGTCCCTGCGGCCGCCGGGGCCGGGATCGCTCGGGAGGACGCCGCCTCCAACGCAGAGACCCGACACCCTGCCGGGCGCAGGTGACCGGAGCCTAGCGTGCGCGGGGGAAGGAGCCCCTTCACCATGCAACGATTCTCTTCTTTCTGAAGGTTGGGTTTCCAACCCTAGCTTGGTGAATAATTATGAAATGTCAGCTGGTCTGCTAAGGAAGTGCGGACAAGGTGGAAACCAATGCACATATTAAGGTCCGAAGGCTTGGCTCAGGGTCCCGATGCTGGTCCGTATTAGAAGAAAATGACAGATAAAAACACGGGGTCTGTGGGGGTTGGTGAGGTGTGGAAAGGTGTGCTCCGTGTGTGAATTTATTTACAATTCTGGTTCAAATTGAGAGAAGTTCTTAATTTGTCTCGGCTTTGCCCGTGGCAGTGTTACAATTGACAAAAAAGTCAAAAAAAAAAACCCCAGGAAATATGCTCACTCAGATGGGTCATATTTACGTCTCTGCCTTACTAAAACGATCTCTCAGAGACAGGATCTTGGGGAGGGCCTCTTCATTCCCAGCACTATATTTCTTGCCGGAATCCTATTTCCTAAGGCCCCCTTAGGGGATGGCGTGAGTAGACCTCGACTTCCTTTGGATTCTGGACTACTGAATACTTAATAATCCAAGCGTGGGGGAGTCAATCTTTATTCAGGAAGCACTTAAGATGTAGTAGGTTTAGAGCTGCTAGATGCCATGAAGGTAGAAACGGACCCAAAGCAGTGTCTCTGCGTTTCAGGGGTTTAATCATCCCATTAGGTGCCTTAAGCCCTTTGAGTTGGGCTATGCAAATAGTGTCAGAAGGCTTATTCTATAATCCTGGGCTTTAATTGATGCGTGAGAGTTTTTCTTAATTAAAAGTTATATTTAATATAGTTTTATAATTGCTACTGCTTGGTAGGATTTGCATCTAAGATGCGGATTTCCATAATATTTTCTTTAGATGAACATCATGATGCTACTTAACAGCAGAGGCTTTAGAAAATTAAAAACTTCAGCTAGAGAGGTTTTTTTTTTTTGTTTTTTTTTTTTGCCTTTTTGAGACAGGGTCTCCCTGTAGCCCCAGCTGTCCTGGACCTCACTATGTAGACCAGGCTGGCCTTGAACTCACAGAGATCCGCCTGCCTCTGCCTCCCGAGTGCTGGGATTAAAAGCGTGCACTACCACGCCTGGCAAATTTACTATTTTTATTTTATGTGCCTGAGTATATTGCCCGCATGTAAGTGTACCCATGTTGTACAATGTCCCTGGAGGTTAGAAGAGGGTGTCAGATCCCCAGGAACTGGAGTTATGGATGATTGTTAGCCACCATGTGGGTGCTGGGATTTGAACCCAGGTCCTCTGCAAGAGTAGTCAGTACTCTTAACCGCTGAGCCATCTCTCCAGCCCCTATAGTTTCTTTGTTTGGAAGATTTTGGTTTTATTCTCTTAAGTTTGTGTTGTTCATGTGTCTGTGACATGACTGTGAGTGCCTGTGGAGGCCAGAAGAGGGTGTCAGAGCCCCTGGAGTTGGGGTTACAAATGGTCGTGAGGTTCTAAACGTAGGTGCTAGGAACTGAACTTGGGTCCTCTGCAAGAGCAAGAAATGCTCTTCACCACTGAGCAATCTCTCCAGCCCCATATTTCTTGTTTCTTAAGGGCTAGGTCATGAAGGGATGTTGGACTTTGTCAAAGGCTTTAATTTGTATATGGATGTGATTATGTGCTTTTTATCATGAAGTCAGTTTATGCATTGTATTATATTTATTGATGTGGGTATGTTTTTAATTCTTGTGTGTTTGTCAGGACTTACTTTATGGCCTGGAATGTAGTTAACTTTAGAGAAAACTCCATGGACTGCCGATAAGACTGTTCCATATCTGTTGGATGGAGTATTTTGTAGTTATCTGTCATATTCATTTGATCTATGGTGTATTTTAAAGTTTTTTGTGGATTTTTGGGTTGGATGAGAATGGGGAGCTGGAGAGATGGCTCAGCAGTTAAGAGCACTGGCTGTTCTTACAGAAGACTTGGGTTCAAATCCCAGCACACACATGGCAGCTAACAACCATCTGTAACTCCAGTTCCAGTATATTCCGAATCCCTGGATGACACGGGTACACATACATACATGTAGGCACGACACTCATAAACATAAAAATAAAAATAAATAAAATTTTTTAAAAGATGAGAATTGGATATTGGATATTATATATGAATCTATCTGATCTTTTATGCCCTGGAGACATTGCCAGTGACTGAGAGCTGCAAAGAACAGTGTTCAGATTCAGCATGCCCAGACTCCTGGTGCCAACATCATACAGCAACTGCCTTCACCAAACAGCATCTTTCTTTGGGAAATGTGACAGACAGAACTCTAGTTTTTAAATACTGGCAAGCAACTATTAAAAATTGAATCTGGCATCTCACGTTGTTTAACTACACATTGCAGTTCAAAAACAAAAAAAAAAAATTTGTATTTGGGATGGAATCAGATTTTCTCCAGAATAACTAATGAATCATTCATAAAATAATTATCTGTAAAACCCCATGATTCACTATCATATTTTTTGAATGTGCTGCAAAATGAACAGTTTTAATAAACTGGAAAATATTAAATCTGGAAATCCACATGTCTACAGCAAAAAGAAATTGCATTTGACATCATTTAGCATGGCTTTTAAGTCAACTCTTTTCTTGGTAAACTGATATTTGAAGGTCAAGAACTAAGCTTTTTTCCCTGTCTCCTGCCCTGCTGGCTTGGAGGAATGTTTGCTGTCTGTACCTCTTTCAGCCAGCTGAGCACTTCTTTGAGTTGAGATGTGTTCCCTGAGGCCTGCTCTCTAGCCGCTCCAGCTGGGAGCACCTTCCTCTTTCCCTTGCTCCAGCTGAGCAGTCAGAGCTGATTGGGAAGTAGATTGCATGGGGAAAGGCCATGAGTTCATAGTTCTCCAGCATTATGAGCCTGTACAGGACCCTTTGAACAGGTGTTAGGTGGATGGGTCCATTCCTTCTTTGTGAAGTACATAGCCACATCTTGAAAAGTCACTGGTTCTGGGGCTGGCTGTTAAGAAGAGAGCTGTCATCATCAAATTTTTTATTCCTGTCTTAGGAAAAGGCAAGTGTTAGAAGCAAGTGCTCCAAATGGCCGTGGTAGCTTTTTGGCAAATGGAGGTCATGAGAGCTGTGGTAGAAGTCAAACCTTTGAGCCACAATCATTTAATATTTTTTAACATTTTATTATTTTTATTTTATGTGTATGAGTGTATTGCCTGCATGTATGTAATTGCACCCATGTTGTGAAATGCCCATGGAGATCAGAAGAGGGCATTAGAGTCCTCTGGCACTGGAGTTACAGACAGCTGTTAGTTGCCATGTGGGTGCTAGGAATCAAACCCAGGTCTTCTGGAAGAGCAGTCAGTGCTCTTAACTGCTGAGTCATCTCCCTAGCCCTTAATTTTTACTTTAGAAATAAAAGCTTCTGAACTCAGGATGTACCTCAGTAACATAGGCTTTAAGCACAAAGGCCTGGGTTGGATCTCCAGAATTTCAAAAGAAGGAAAGCAGAAGACAGGGGCGGGGAGGAAGGCTTCTTGAGCTGCACATCATATCTCTTAACTGAAATTTGTTCAGTTTTTTTTGTTGTTGTTTTGAGACAGGGTCTCACTATGTAACCCTGGCTGTCTGGAACTCACTATGTAGACCAGGTTGGCCTCAACTCACAGATGCTCACCTACCTCTGCCTCCAAGTGCTGGGATTTAAAGGCATGTGTTACCATGCTCAGCCTAAATCTGTCCTATTATTTTTATAGGGGCATTTATAATCTGTATTATAAGAACATACCTGTACTTCATCCTGTAGGAAGGGATCTGCACATTGCTAAAGGGTTTGTTTGTTCTGAGTCAACCTTCAAACTAGATGTCACTCACAGGGCAGCTCAGGAGGAATGTAAGACTCAGTGGCCTTGGTGTATGAACTCTCCCCTACTACTCAGAGAGAGGAGACAATACAGAGAAAAACACCAATACCACATGGCATTGGCTCCATTAGGTCTGAACTACAGTGAGGCCCAAGGTTGGTGGATCCCAGCCTTGCTCCCAGTAAGACCTACTCTATTGTGCAGTCAGAGCCTTCAACCCTGTCCTGTACCTGCCTGTGAGGAGTGTGCTGAGCTACCTGCTTATTGGAATACTCCTGAGTGTTTATGGCACAGCTCATGTGTCAACTAGAAGAAATAGATTGTGGGACAGTATACTAGGCAAATACCCTAGGCTGGTAAGAGTTACTGTTTGGTGATCAAATTCTACCACATATAAAATACTCACATGTGCCAGGCATGGTGGTGCATGCCTTTAATCCCAGCACTTGAGAGGCAGAGGCAGGCGGATCTCTGTGAGTTCAAGGCCAGCCTGGTAGCCTGGTCTACATAGTAAGTTCCAGGACAGCTGGGGCTACAGGGAGACCCTGTCTCAAAAAGACCAAAAAAATAAAAAAATACAAAAACGTGTAATTCAGACTTCCCAAGGAAAGGGCTGGACTCCACCCCTATTCAAGTCTACTCACTCATGAAGCAGAATACTCTTGCCCCAGAAAAGTGAAACATTCCTGCACAGGCACACAGGGGCTGGAGCATGAAGGCTGAAACAGAAGCTAGGTTCCAGTCCTGCTTGGTGTACTGATCATGTGACTTTGGGCATAGTTTTCTCCACTGTGAAAAGGGGATAAAGGGTCAAAAGCTATAATTAGGCTAGGGCTATAGCTCAGTTGGTAAAATGCTTGCCTCAGTTGTTAGTAGTTTGCACAAAGCCCTGGGTTTAAACCCCAGCACCACACAAACGGTGTGGTGACTCAACCTGTAATCCCAGCACTTGAGAAGTGAACACAGTAGGATCAGGAGTTCAAAGTCATCTTTGAACATAGGCTACATAGGGAGTTCAGAGGCAGCTTGATATAGCGGAGAGATACTTGCATATCAGTGTTTATTACAGCACTATTCATGATGGCAAAGTTATGGAACCAACCCAGGTGTCCAACAACAGAGAAATGGATACAGAAGTGGTGTATATACACAATGGAATTTTTTTCAGCCACAAAGAACAAAGTCATTCCCTGCACTCAGGAGGCAGAGGCAGGTGAATCTCTGTGAGTTCAAGGCCAGTCTGGGGCTACAGGGAGACCCTGTCTCAAAAAGACCAAAAAAAAAAAAGCCATGTCATTTGTATGAAAATTTATGCAATTGGAGATAATCTGATTAAGCCTATAAAGTCAATTACAGACAAATATGTTTTCTCTCATTTGTGGTTCCTAAACTTTACATAGATATTATATATATATATATATATATATATGAATGAATGAAAGCATAAGTAAAACTGTCTAGGGGGATAAGCTGGACCAACAGGAGGAGTGAGAAAAGGGACACTAGGGAATATGAGAGAGCTGTGTTCAACGTACAGTCTATACATGTACAAAGCGTAAAAACTTTGAAAACATAATTACAATAGCAACAACAAAAACTGACTTGAAAATTTTTTTGTTGTTGTTCCTTTCAGGATGGCTTTGGGAATTTTTGCAAACTGTACCTTCTGTTTGAAAGTTAAATATTTACCTCGCCAGCAGAAGAAAAAACTACAGACTGACATTAAGGAAAATGGTGGAAAGTTTTCCTTCTTATTAAATCCTCAGGTATTTCCAAATCTCACCAACTACTTTATGGTTGACATAATGCATTCAGGGAACAAGGCTTATAGTTGGAGCGTAAGCAGAGAAGACTGGCAGCGGAGAAAATGTGAGCAGGCAGGAGACATTGTGATAGTGCCCACTGGGAGGTGGGCCAGAAGCAGAGGATGCCAGAGGGCCCAGCCCAGTCTTCTTCCAGTCCAGGAGCTGCAGGACAGGACCACACATCCTGTGAATCTGATATCATTTGGAAATAACCAAAGATGTAAATAGAATTTCAGGCCAGCCACATCTACTCTTGAAAGAGAGAAGGTTGTACTGTACACTGCAAAAGGCACAGTGTGTCATTTACCAGTAGGTCTAACAGCTGAGGGCAGATGTGCAGTGTAAACTAATGTTTTGTCTTGTTTAGGGGCCAAAGGAAGCTACTGCATCTCTTGAGATGAATTGTAGGCTGAAGAGTCTAGATACAGAATTTCACAAGTGGATAAAATCTTGAAAATAATTAAGGCTAACTTTTTTATTATATATTTATTTTAATTGATTACATTTTTTTTAGTCAGGATCTCCCTGTAGCCCCAAATGGCCTGGAACTTGCTATATAGACCTGGTTGGCCTCGATGTCATGGAGATCCACTTGCTTCTGCCTCCTGAGTGCTGGTATTAAAGCCTTCTCTTTTTTAAATATTTTATTTACTATTTTTATTTTATGTGTATGAGTGTATTGCCTGCATGTATGTGAGTGCACCTGTGTCGTGCAATGTTGCGGAGGTCAGAAGAGGGCTTTGATTTCCCCTGGAACTGGAGTTAAGGATGGTTCGTAGCCACCATGTTGGTGCTGGGAATTGAACCCGGGTCCTCTGTAAGAGCAGTCAGTGCTCTTAACTGCTGAGCCGTCTCTCTAGCCCCAAAGGCTTTTCTTTTTTTAAAAAGAAGATTTTACTTATTTATTTTTTATTTTATGTATTTGCCTGCATATGCACCTTGTGCCTGCCTGGTGCCCTTGGAGCCAGACAAGGGCATCAGATCCCCTGGAACTAGAGTTATAGAAGGTTGTGAACTGCCATGTGCAAGAGCAGCCAGTGCTCTTAATCTCTGGGTCATCTCTCCAGTCTCACTTTCTTTTTTAACCACCTAGTAAAGTGGTTTAAAAAGGTAAGAAGAAAGAATGGAAGTGCAAAGGCATTATGTCCCAGACCTGCCAGCCCCTTGTCCTTTGCTCTTTCTTCTCTTGATATGTGAATAATCTGCCTACCTGGATCCATCCCTGATCTGCTCTGGAAGGCAAGTTCAGCTCCCTCAGAATACCACAAAGGAACTATTCCCACTTACCTCCAATTCAGGCAGAGTTGTGTATGCTTCCATCACATGACTTTCCTGCCTCCCATTTCTGTGGGTAGATAAGTAATCCACGTATAAGTAGTAAGTAAACTTCATTCTCAGTTTGTCTTGTGGGTAAAGAATTACTATCTTGATCTCTGCTATTTTGGAAACTCACATACTGTGCATACAACATTTTGTACTTTTTTTTTGCCTCTGTGTGTGTGTGTGTGTGTCTGTCTTTGATATGTACACATCAGCTATTATAAAAGGCACATAAAGCCAGACATGGTGGCACAAGTCTAATCCCAGTACTCAGAAGGCTGAGGCAGGACTTGAGACTAGCCTGGGCTACATAACAAGACTCTGCCTCTAAAACAAAAATATGATAAAATTTAAAAAAATGGCTGCACATGTAATGATGAGGAATAAGCTTCAAGATAAATTAAATGGAAAAGAAAGACTAAAAGAATGTGGTAGGTGTTGAAAGAATGTTGCCGTTTGTACAGTTACACCTGCTGTCTTCAATGAGGACAGATTACACTAGTGCCCCAAGGTAAAGTAGCTTCCACAGTGTGAGGAAAAAGTGAACAGAGCCTTTGTTACTACTTTACTTGTTTTTTTGTTTTGTTTTTAGATAAGGTCTTACTATGGCCTGGCCTGGAAGTTGCTATATAGACCAGGCTAGTCTTGAATTCACAAAGATCTGCTTGCCTCTGAATGCTGGGATGAAAGGTGTATACCACCATCTCTGTCTACTTTGCTTTTGATATATGCTCCAATATGCGTATATGCTTTATTCAAAACTATATAAAACTGGAGGCTGGGGAGATGGCTTGTAGTAAAGTGCTTACCACGAAACCATGAGGACCTGAGTCTAGAGCCCCAGAACCCATGTAAAGTCAGAAACAGAGTTGCACTTCTGTAATCCAAGAATTTATACAGGAAGACAAAGGCCCTAAACAGAATTCCTGGAAGCTCAGGGCCAGCTAGGCTGAAGCACACAGCCTCGAACAACAAAAAAGAACTTGTCCCAAACAAGGTGGAAGGTAAAGACCAAGCCTGAGGTTGTCCTCTGACCTCCACATGTACACTGTGGCATGTGTGCACCCACATTCATGAACAAGCACACATATTATACATGTAGATTTGATTTTTTTTTTTTTTGGTCTTTTTGAGACAGGGTCTCCCTATAGCCCCAGCTGTCCTGGAACTCACTATGTAGACCAGGCTAGCCTTGAACTCACAGAAATCTGCCTGCCTCTGCCTTCAGAGTGCTAGGATTAAAGGCGTGTGCCACCATGCCTGGCTTTAGATTCAATTTTTAAAAACTAAATAAAATTAGAAATTAACAAAATAAATAACAAATATCTTTTGTACCTGCCTTTCCTTCTCCAAGGAAATAGCTGAACAGAAGTGTATACAGGAAGGTGTTTACGCTACTGTTAGTGGTAGAGAAGACTTAGAAGCAACCTGTAATGTGTATATCCATATCCATAGTCTAATCACTGTTGGTTTTGGGCTCAGGTGGTGGTAGTTCAGTGGTAGGGGCTGACCTAACATGATCAGGGCCCTAGGTTCAGTTCCTTATACTGAAAAAAAAAAGTTGATTTTTAAAGTTTTTCTAGAACTGTAAGTTATTTTACTTACAACGTTTTTCAAATTCTGAGAAAAAAGTACTGGAAACCGTCTTAAAATAAGGCGCTTTTGTTTTTGTCTTTTTGAGACAGGTCTCTGTAGCCACAGCTGGCCTGGATTCACTATGGAGACCAGGCTGGCCTCAAATTCACAGAGATCTGCCTGCCTCTGCCTCCCAAGTTCTGGGACTAAAGGCATGTGCCACCACACCCAGCTCTTAAAATAAGACTTAAAATTTTTTTAAAAATTTAATAACCACTTGGGGCTGGAGAGATGGCTCAGCAGTTAAGAATACTGGTTGTTCTTGCAGAAGACCCAGGTTTGAATCCCAGCACCCACATGGCAGCTAACAACTGTCCATAACTCCAGTCCTAGGGGATCCAACAGCCTCTTCTGACCTCCACGGGCATTGCACGACACGGGTGCACTTACCTACATGCAGGCAATACATGCACACACATAAAATACAAATAAATAAAAATTAAAAAAAATTTAATAACCACATGATTAGATGAAGTATTTCATTACAGCTTTAACATATTCAGTAACACATTCCAGAGTAAGGATACATCTCTTTCAAAAGTGGCTGTTAATTTTTAGGTTCACAGTTGAATTAATAGTTATACAATATTAAACTCAGTATAAACCCTGTAAGTCATAAAATTGAATGAGTTTTTAACCCTTTAAAGAAGATCTCCATTTCATTTTAAAATACACTGTTTTCTACATTTTTAATGCTTACTAACACATGTTTGCACATGCGTCTTTAATCTCTATGTATCTGATTATTACTAGTCACAGTAGGTTACACTCAGATCCTTAGTACATGAGTATGGATATAAAGTCATCAGGTAGATTTTTTTGAGTAATGTTTATCACCGCTACTATTTAACGTGAAATAAATTTTTATGCTTCCTCCTCAAATATGTCTTTTTTAAAATTTGTTTTTTTGTGTGTATATCATACAGAACATCCCACACAATCCTATTCATCTATATACCCACTTCCCAAATGGCACCCTCCCATTAAGGGTTAAAGTTACAGATACAAATAATGTCCTTAAAGTTTTTATTTTCTAGTGTATAATGGAGTGACTTTTTTCTTAGTGCACACATGTAATCTTGGACAATGCTGATGTCCTGAGCCACTATCAACTCAAATCTATCCTAAAGAATGGCATCCATATGGCAAACCCAAGTTTCATATGGGAATCTGTCAAAGAAAGAAGACTCTTGGATGTGAAGAATTATGATCCTAATAAGTCACAGGACTTTACCACAACTCCAGATGAAAAGACTAGCATTTCTGGTAAATATATCCTACCAAGCACTGAATGTGTCACAGATGTTGTAGTAGATATTTGGATGTGCCAGGGATATAGACATAAATTGTCCAGAAATACTACAATGCCAATTATGCTTCATTTTACCTCCAAAACAGTAAACAAAGTCTTGAAGACTGAAAGACTAATTTAGAACAGAAATAGATTTCTCAGTATGCAGTCTAATATGGTCAAACTCAAAATGCTAAGAAATTCTGTTAGTCTCAGAAAATGTGATGTGTAAATAAAATTTTTATTATATTTTTATTTTATTTTCTGTGTGTGTGTATGAGTGCATGTGACATGGTACACATGTAGAGGTCAGAAGACAGCTTGTGGGACTCAGTTTTTACCACCATATAGGTCCTGGAGATTGAACTCATGTCATCAGGCTTAGAGGTAAGCACCTTCACCCAATGAGCCATCTTGCTAGCCCTGATATGTAATTTTTTAAATGTATGTGTATGTATGAGTGTGTGTGCATAACTCTGTGTGTGTGTGTGTGTGTGTGTGTGTATGTGTGTGTATGTTGAGGATGGAGGACAACCTTGGGTATCATCCTTTGAAATGCTGAGACAGTAGCTCATTGGACTGGAGCTCATTAATTAGGCTAGACTAACTGGCCAGGGAGCCTCAGGGACCCTCCTACCACCTTATCAGCACTGGGTTACAAGCTACCCTGCTGCACCTGACTTTTTACATGGGTACCAGGGATCAAACTCAAGTCCTCATACTTGCAAAGCAATTGCTTTATTAACTGAGCCATCCCTCCAGCCCCTGATATATCATTTTAGGTGGGAGTAGAATAAATCCTTGTTGTTAAAAAATGTTTAGCAGGCCAGCACTATGGCTTAGTGGATAAGGATGCTTGTTACCAAGCCTAATGACTTGAGTTCAATCTCCGGAACCCACATAGAAGAAGGACAAAACTGATTCATGCAAGTTGTCCTCTGACCCCCATACACAGGCTATGGAACACCCTTTCTTTTCCTCCAAATAAATAAATATTAGAAAGTGATTACCATTCCTTAATGTCTAGAAAGTTTCTAACCAGCATTTTACTAAAGAAGTTCCTTCTGAAAGATAATCTCCAGTTGGGCATGGTGGCACATGCCTTGAATCTTAGCACTTTAGAGGCAGAGGCAAGCAGATCTGTATGAGGCCACCTTGGTCTATGTAGCAAGTTCTAGGCCAGCCAGGGCTACTAGTAAGACCCAGTCTCAAAAAAATTTTTTTTTTAAAGGAGTTATTTCTTGGCTTGGGGAGATAGCTCAGTGAGTAAATTGCTTTCCACAGAAGCATGAGAATGAGAGTTCCATCCCCAGCACCCACTTAAAAAGCCGACCATGAGACTGGAGAACTGGCTTAGCAGTTAGGAGCACTTGCTGCTCTTGTAGAGGACCCAGGTTAGGTTCTTAACATACACATGGCAGCTAAGAGCCATCCATAACTCCAGTTCCTGGGAACCCAGTGCCCTCTTCTGGTCTCTTCATGCATTATATGCATGAATACACTTCCATACTGGGTACACTTACATACATGCAGGCAAAACACTCATACACATAAAAATAAAAGTAAATGTTTTAAAAAAAACTGAGTTTGGTGGCACACCCTTGTAATCCCAGCACTGGAGAGGCAGAAACAAATGGATTCCTGGACTTCACTGCCCTGATTCCTGGAGTCCTGCCTCATTGGTGAGCCCCAGGTCTCAGGAAATGAGGGAGGGAGGGATGAGAGGGAAAGAAGGGAAGGAAGAATGGAGGAAAAGAAAATAAAGTTATTTCTATATATCCCAATTCTATAGGAAATACTATGATTCTTCTATAAGAAAAAGACCAGAGCTCACGCAGAGCCCCTGAATTTTCCTCCTCTAGGCTATGATATTAGGACACGGAGAATTCATTCTGATCTCAGAGTGTGTTAAAATTGCATTTTGTAGCTATGCCATAACTTTCAGAAGAGAAAAATGCCATTTGAAAATTGTATGGCTGTCCATGAGTTTCAAATAACACAGATTAGAACGGGATTCTCCTTAGGTGGCACCGAACTCTCAGGATCATCAACACCTTTGCTTTCCCACTTGTATTGTTCTTAGATAACAAACAACTCTACTTCAAAATTAGAAAAAAAATAAAATTTAAAGCCACATGAAGTTGTAGTCACAGAAACTTGGGAGGCTGAGACAGGAAGATCGCAGAAGCTTAGGAGTTTGGGGCAGTGTGAGCAACATAGTAAAACTGCCAACTTAAAAAAAAAGAAAGAAAGAAAGAAAGAATTGAGGCTGAGGGTGTGGCTCAGTGTTTATCCAGCGTGCATGAGGCCCCGAGTTTGATTTCTCCAGAACCCCCTGAAAAGGGGGGTGGGGAGAGGAACTATATAGCAAATATCTATATTTAAGAATCATAAAAATTCTAGAAGTTAGGATCACAGTTAATTGTTAGTCTTTGAATAGTAAGCAACTTTTTGTTTTAATTCTAGAAGTGGCAAGAGAAGATCTAGCCTTGGACAACGCCCCAGAGAATGAAAACATCACAGTCACTGAGTAACTTAGTATTTTGTAAACCTCAAGCACAATATTAAAGATATAAATGATGTGGGTTGGGGGGTGGGGAGGGTGATGTATGCCTGATCCCAGCACTTGGGAGGCTGAGGAAGGAGGATCTCAATCAAATTCAAGGCTAGGCTGGGCTACTTATAGAGACCCTATTAAAAAATACCCCAAAACAAACAAACAAAGGACAGGTCATAAGTTGGACTATTTTAGTCTAAAAGGAGTTGACAGGTTCCAGAGAGGCATGACACCCCCACTAGGGTCAGAGCCCCATTCATATGTTGTGATGTCTTCAGAGAAGGGGCCATACCTCTTCTGTCCCTGCTTTGGCACACACACCTGCATCTCTGACATAAACCTTCCTGTGCATTGGTGCTTTGGAATTATCTTGATTTGATCATTTCATATTGTATGCATGAGTTAGATTATCACACTCTACCCAGAAATATGGAAAAGTTAAAAATAATAAATTAGGAACAGAAGAGATGGACAGTGGTTAAGAGCACTTGCTGTTCTTGCCGAGGACCCAGGATCAGTTCCCAGCACCCATATGGCAGCTAACAACTGTCCTTAACTCCAGTTCCTGGGAATCCAGTGCCCTCTTTTGCCTTTGTGGGCATTGCACAACATGGGTACTTATATACATCCAGGCAAAACACTCATACACATAAAAGAAATAAAATTTAAAGATTAAAAAATAAAAATAAATTACGCAGAGGAAGAATCCGTCTCATTTCTCACAATCATTTCACCATATCTAGAACACCTAAGGAGGCATTGGGGACTTATTAGGTATATCATAAAGAATTAGGATATCTATTGTGAGATTCTGTATGGCCTAAAAGTCCATTTCAGTGTTAAATGTTTCATCAATTTCAGGGTTTGTGCAGAGAATGCGGAAACTCTTCATTTTCCTCAGGACTTTGAAGTTGCAAAATATAACGTCTTGGAAAAAGTAAGATTGATTTCTACTTAGAAAAAAAGATATTTCTGAAAAATTTTCTTTTTTGATGATTTTCTCGTTGTGAAAAATTGTTCCTATTATGAATATCATATATCCTGTAACATATATGAGTTGGTTTTTACTACACAGTTTTTTTTTTTGTCTTTTTGAGACAGGGTCTCCCTGTAGCCCCAGCTATCCTGGAACTCACTATGTAGACCAGGCTAGCCTTGAACTCACAGAGATCCACCTGCCTCTGCCTCCCAAGTGCTGGGAAAGGCGTGCGCCACCACACCTGGCTTACTACACAGTTTTTAAAAATTTTATTATTTTTATTTTATGTGTATGAGTGTATTGCCTGTATGTGTGTAAGTGCACCCATCCCATGCAACGCCCACAAAGGTCAGAAGAAGACATCAGATCCCCTGGAACTGGAGTTAGGGACTACTGTTTGCCATCATGTGGATGCTGAGAATTGAACTTGGGTCCTCTGCAAGAACAGAGACATCTCTCCAGCCCTACACAGAGAAGTTTTATGTTTGAAATTTAAATTTTTTGCTAGGCATAGTGGTGCATGCCTTTAATCCTCTACTTGGGAGGTAGAGGAAGGCAGGTGAGTTTGAGACCAGCCTGTTCTACATAGTGAGTTCCAGGCTAGCTGAGACTATAAGGAGATCCTGTCTAAAAAAACAAGCAACTCATACATGCAGGCAATACACTCATACACATAAAATAACAAAATACTTTAAAAAAAAAACAAGCAAAACAAAAAAATTTAAACTTTGCCTGGCATGATGCCTATGATCCCAACACTTGGAAGACTGAGCAGGAGGGTTGTGAATTCAAGGACAGCCCCAACCACACAGTGACATCCTGTCTCAAAAAAACAAAAGTTAATTAATTTAAAAAGAGGAGGAGGAAGAAGATACTTTTTAGTGTTATTATTTTGTGTGTACATCTCAATCAGTCTTAATCATCTTTATACCCCCTTCCCCACTGGCACCCTCCCATAGCTCCCCCACTGGAATTCATACATTCTGTCATTTGTCTTAAGACCTATTGTGTCAACTTAGTGTCCCCAGATGTCCCTCAGTGTAAGTTCATCTACTGAGGTCTAGTCAGTCTATCTACAGTCTCTTACTTTAGGAAGATCAGCTCTTCCTTACCCAACAGTAATCAGTTGCTAGTGTTTCTTCAGCTAAGATTGGGGTCAGCTGTGCATTTCCCCAGTTCTGTGCTGCATTTTTGTCTGAGTTTGCATGGGTTCTGTGCATGCTGACACCATTGCTGTAGGTTCATATGAGAAGGGTCCCAGGAGCTTGTAGGGTTCTGTTTCCATATGGTCATGAACCTCTTCCCTGGCTCTTAAAATCTTTCTGCCACCTCTTCCAAAATGGTCCCTGAGCCCTGGGTGGGTGTAGTTTAATACAGGAATCCTGTCCAAGGACCAGCATTCTGCTGACTCTTAGTCTCTACACTTTGGCCATTTGTTACCTTTTGTGTTCCTGGCCCTTTATTGCATGAGGGAACTTCATTAATGAGAATTGAGATAGTCATTATTGTGTTCTTTACCTCCTTGTTCTATGTTCTGTGAGCCTTAGGTATAGAGGTTGTATTGTAGATATGCCATTTCAACTTGGGCAATTCACAATGTCTCTTTGTGACCAGTTGTGATACTCTGTAATAGTCTCTATCTGGTGCAAAAGAAGCTTCTTTTATGAGTGGTGAATTGGGTATTTGTAAATATCAGGATACGTATTTTGCACATAGTAAGAAATTACATTAGTCTAGGAATGTGACAGTTTTGGGGTTTTCTCTAAGATCTGTGACCTCTCCAGCCATGTGGTTTTGGCTTTGTTTAGAATATCAAACATGAGTTTCCTCTCACTGGGTGGGCTTTTAGTTCAATTAGGTAGGTGTTGATTGCCCCAAGATAAAAGTGCCACTGCTGCACCAATGTCATATGTTGTACTGGTCATTGATGTGGTCATTTGGTCTTGAAATATTGACTGATTTTTCTCCCTTAGCACTTTGCATAGTGCTTTCCAAAGCTGTGAGAGCAGCCATCAGAGGAAGTGGCTTTCAGGTCAGTTCCAGCTCCATTGCTCTAAATCCTGTGTAAACTGGCAGGTTACAAAATTAATCTACAAAAATCAGTAGTTTTTCTATATACCAATAACAAGCAATCAGAGAAAGAGTACAGGGAAACCTTCCCATTCACAATAGCCACACAAAAAACAAAACAAAAACCTCGGAATAAACTCGACCAAAGACATCAAAGATCTCTACAATGAAAAAAAGAAAGAGATTCAGGAAGGCACCAGAAGATAGAAGGACCTCCCATATTCATGGATTAGAAAAATTAATATTGTGGGGCTGGAGAGATGGCTCAGCAGTTAAGAACACTGCCTGTTCTTGCAGAAGACCTGGTTTCGAATCCCAGTACCTACATGGTAGCTAACAACTGTCCACAACTCCAGTCCCAGGGGATCCAACAGCTTCTTCTGTCTTCCACGGGTTGCATGACACAGGTGCACTTACCTACATGCAGGCAATACATGCATACGCGTAAAATAAAAACTATAAATAAAATATTTTTTAAAAAAATTAATAGTGTGAAAATGACCATCCTACCAAAAGCAATATATAGATTCAGTGCAATGCCAATCAAAACCCCCATGACATTCTTCACAGAATTAGAAAAAAAATCCTAAAATTCATATGGAAGCATAAAAGACCCCAGATTGCCAAAGCAACCCTGAGCACAAAGAGCAATGCTGGGGGGAGTACAGTACCAGATTTCAATCTGTGTTACAGAGCTATAGTCATAAAAAATAGCATGATACTGGCACAAAAATAGACCGGTAGATTAATGGAACATAGTTGAAGACCCAAACATAAGTACATACAATTTCAGCCACCTGATATTTGACAAAGGGGCCAAGAACACTCACTGGAGGAAGACAGCATCTTCAGCACATGATGCTGACAAAACTGGATCTCCATCTGTAGAAGAATGAAACTAGACCCTTATCTTTCACCCTGCACAAAAGTCAACTCCAAATGGATCAAAGACCTCAGTGTGAAACCTGAAACTCTGAAGCTTTTAGAAGAAAACATTGGCACTAAACTACAAGATACAAGTGTAGGAAAGACCCTTTTAATCCAACATCAATTGCTCAGGAAATAAGGTCAAGAATCAACAAATGAGACCTCATTAAACTAAAAAACTTCCATACATCAAAAGAAACAACAAAGGAAGTGAAGAGAAAACCCACAGAGTAGAAGAAAATCTTCACACATTTGACAGAGGTTTAACATCCAGAATATGTAAAGAACTCAGAAACAATCAAGAAAGCAAGTGACCCAATTAAAAGATGGGCTAAAGTAGGGTGTGGTGGTACACATCTTTAATCCCAGCACTTGGGAGGCAGGGGCAGGTGGATCTTTGTGAGTTTGAGGCCAGCCTGGTTTACATAGCCAGTTCCAGGTCAGCTGGGGATACAGGGAGACCCTGTCTCAAAAAGACCAAAAGGTGAACAGAGTTCTTTAAAGAAGAAATAAAGAAGGCTAAGAAACTTCTTAAAAGGTGTTCAGCATCATTAGTAATTAGGGAAATGCAAATTAAAACCACTTTAAAATTTCATCTTACCCCAATCAGATTGGCTAAGATCAAGAGAACAAATGATACCAAATGCTGGAGACAATGTGGAAAAAGGGGAACGCTCATCCACTGCTGGTGGGATTGCAAACCCATGCAATCTCCATGGAAAGCAGTGTGGAGAACTCTTAAAAAACTGAAAATGCTGGGCATGGTGGCACACGCTTTTAATCCCAGCATTTGGGAGGCAGAGGCAGGCAGATCTCTGTGAGTTCAAGGCCAGCCTGATCTACATAGTGAGCTCCAGGCCAGCTGAGGCTACAGGGAGACCCTTCCTCAAAAAGAAAACAAAACTAACTAAAAATGTATTTCATACAGAACATCTCAAACAATCTTATTCATCTTTATACCCCCATCCCAAATGGCACTCTCCCATAGCCCATAGCCACCCCCCCACTGGAGCCCATATACTCTGGCATCCCTGTTACTGTCCACTGTGTTGTCAGTTCCCCCAGCCGTTCCCCAGTGCAACTCCATCTGCTGAGTCTAGTCAACCTATCTAGAGTCCCTTGTTTTAGGAATGTCAGCTCTTCTTCATCTAGTAGCAATCAGTTGCCAACATTCTTTTAGGTAAGATTGGGGTCTGCTGTTCATTTTTCCAGTTCTATGCTGGGTTACTGTCTGCCTGAGTTTGCATGGGACTTGTGTATGCTGACACCTTTGCCATAGAATCATATGAGCAGGTTCCAGGAGCTTATAGGACTCTGTTTCCATATGGTCATGCCCATCCTCCCTGGCTCTTACAGTCTCTCTGTTCCCTCTTCCGAGATGGTCCCTGAGCCTTGGGTGGATGAAGTTTAATAAAGGCTTTCTATCCAAGGACCATTATTTAACAGACTCTTGATCTCTACACTTTGGCCATTTATGACCTTTTGTGTTCCGGGCCCTGCACTGCATGAGGGAGCTTCCTTGTTGAGAACTAATTCCTTAGTATCCTCTTCTTTATCCCTCTTCTATGTTCCATGAGCCTTAGGTGTAGGGGATGCATTGCAGATGTGCCCCTTAGGCCTGGCCAATTCATAGACAATGTCCGTGTGTGACCAGTGTGGTACTTGGTATTAGTCTCTGACTGTTGCAAAATGAGCTTCTTTGATGAGTGGTGAGTGGGATATTTGTCTGTAAATATAAGGATAAATATTTTGCACATGGTAAGAAATCACAGTCTAGTGATATAATAGTTTTGGGGTTTTCTCTAAGATACCCCAAAGGAAATTTTTTCTCTAAGGTACACACTCCAGCCGTGTGTATTAGGTTATGTTACAGTACCACACTTGAGTTTCCTCCCTTTGAGTGGGCTTTTAGTCAAATTAGGTAGCTGTCGATTGCCCCCAAGACAAAAGTGCCACTACTG